CGCTGGCCCCCTTCAATCAATATACGAGCCCCCGTTGCCGGCATCGCGACAATCACAAGACTTGCAAGCCTCTGCAAACCTCCTCAAAGGACTAGCCCTGAAGCAAGAACCATGTGGGATTCCCTCCGCGAGCAAACCAACTCGGCCATCCGCCACTGGCCCCCTTTGTGACAGCACTTCCCTGTCACTAGATCCAAAAATGCGCCCATAGTGTCTTCCACGTCCATCCACCACGGACACTTCGCTATGTCGAGATGTCGTCCCGAACTGTCCTCCACCAGTCAACAAAGATCCCATGACTTGGTCGTGTTTCCACGACTCAAGTCGCCAAGAACTTCCGACACATGCAGCTTCACGCTCTCCGTACCTTAGTCGCCACCTTGCATGGCCCGACCTAAGGCGAGAAATCCCGCTCGAAGCTGCGAGACCAGCAACCGTCGCGTTTCCACCATGTTGCTGCCGTGCCAACCACATGCAACGAAGATCCCTGACACTTAGAGTGGCCGGATCGAAGATCCCGCCGCCACCCTAAGTCCTGCCCTAACCGCAGTTAGCCAAGAACCCTAACCCTAGCCACGAATTAGGACAGGTGAGAACTCTGAGACCGTGAAGAATTTTTGCCTGCGCTTCTGGGAGGGTGTGAGGCTCCCTCCCAGCTATCCCCCTGTGAATTTTTGTGGAAAAATTCCAAGCCGTTCAGGAGTTATGAGCTCCCAAAAAACTTGAAACCATGAGAAGCGAAAAAAGAAGAGGAGGAGAGGAGAGCGTCCAGCTGCTGCAGCCGTGGTGTTCCTGACTGCCCTCTCCACTCCTCCAAATCTCTAAGCCCCGAAAAACCCTAGCCGCCGCCGAAGAACCCTAAAAACAGCAGCGACCTAGGGCCAGCGAGATCTCCAGATCCGTGGCAGATCTCGCCGCGGCCTTCTAGGAGGATGAGAATCTACACTCCTAGAAGCCCCCCGTCGAAGGAATCGAGGTTTCTCCCAGCCGTTTGGGAGATATCGATAAAAACGACAGAGAGCGAGAGAGAAGAGGAGAAAGAGGAGGGAGACGAGCTCCGTGTGTTGCTGCTGCGGTCTGCGATGCTTGTGCCGCCCTGGACGCTCGCTCCCTCCCTCTTTCTCACACTCTCTCTCTAGTGCCTTCGAGCTCTCTCCTCAAACAACTTAGGGCTTTTGCACGGCTTTTGGCTGTTCGCAATATCACATGTTCTTTGTGGTTTGCTCTTGATTGATCTCTTGGGTTTGAGATATCAGTAGGATGTTGCTAATGCTTGCTTGAGCAACTCTGGTTCCTTGGTATTGTTGACCGAAATCTATTTAGATTAGCTGGTGTGATAGTTGGCATGAAAACTATGTTTGTTGGTCTTACCACATTCATTCTATTCTGTTGATTATTGCTCGAGTTAGTTCTGATAGATTTGGATGTTATTTCCTATGGGTGATACATTCGCGAGCATTGTGCTTGTCAGTCAATGATACTTTGTGTTCTTTGAGTTATCTTTGGTAAGTTGTTTGGCATACTATCTACCATCTTCAGTAGTTAAGATTTATCATTGAGTTTTCTTGATGATATGCTAGCTATTGATTTTTGTTGGATGGTGAATCCTATGTTTTCCAATTATGATGATCTTGGTGGTTCTTGTACTATACTACTAGTTTATTGGATGATAACTTACTTGGAATACTTTTGTGTTCTCATCTAAGATATATTCACTGATAATTAAGTCTCTAAGATATCATTGTGTATGACTTTGATATTGTCCATCTATTGATCTTTGAATTTGGGCCAGTATAGGCAGACTGGCTTCGGCACTTC